TAGGCCAACATCAAGCTATTGAATTGAAAGGACAAACTCACTTGCAAAATCTTTGAGAAGTTTACTAGATAAGCATAGATAGATAAGCATAGATAACCACCATAAAAGTTAATGCTTGCATTGTCAATGCTTCTCACAGCTCTAGTTTTCTGTACCATGGGGCAACTTCTGTAGAAATTCAACCAGCTAATGCACTGTGCAGTGCCACCCTGACAGTGACTCCATGACTCTTTTATGCTGCAGCTGTAAAATTATTCCCTGACTGCAGATTCCTTCTGCAAGTTACAACTATAATTAAATACATTTTACTAAACCCCCATAAAATTTACAACATGGCTTTAAAATATATGACGATGCTATAAAAAGATGGACTAGAAATTAAAATTGTAAAATCGTTCAAAGAGGCATGTCCAAAAGAGAAAACAGAAAACTTTATCAGGTCTTATTTGTAAATCTTTATAAATAAAGATTATTTCCACTGTCAATTTACCATACTCATTCTACACTGACCTACCTTATTAGTTTTGTCCCCCCACCTCCTCATATGCCAATTTCCCACTAATGTTTGAGTCTTCTACTAATTAAATTGAAGATGGAAAAACCAAGGGGAATTCAAACGTTGGAAAACAGCCCATGTGCAGGAGTGCTGCTCTCAGGAGGCTTTCTTCAAGGAAGGCTCAAGAGAGATGAAAATATCAGACAACATTTTATGTACATATCTACATACATACCTATCTATCTCAATCTGTGGATTTCTGTACTCTCTAAATTAAATTTTACTCCACAATGTGTGCTTTACATTTCAACTCCCACTTAACTTCAAGTAGTAAGCTCAAATCAGGAGCATGTACAGCATGCTTCTTGTAGAGGGGAGAACCAGCCCTATGCCTTTTCTATCCGCCCCATAGAATTCAAGTTGCTCTGAGGCTTGCTAGCTCATCTGTGCATGGAAAATGGAAAAGAAACATAAAAAAAAAGGCAATCCCATTCATACCAAAAAGTTTTTTAAAAAGCATGGAGGGCTACCACTTATGATCCAAGCAACAGTCTTGCTGTTCACCAATGTTATAACAAGACCTGACAAAATCCCAGTAAAAATTGTACAAAAATTAAAGCACAAACAACAAAAAAAATAAGGGCTGGAAAAACATGTTAAAAACATTACAAGAAATACATCAATGGTCTACTCAACAGTGAGACATCATTATGCATAGGTTAAAAAAAAGAAGTAAAATAATAGGCACATATGCCATTAAACCAATGAGATTTCAACACATGGTTTGATCTTAGTAACAAAGAGATAAAAATGAATTCTCCTGACCACATGACAGGAATTTTTGTTAATTTTTCCTTCAGTGAGTCAGAAGACCTTAGCCAAGAATAACTTGCAAAAGTAATACTAAGCAAAGCCTTAGAGAAAGAAAAAACAGCTATAAAGTAGTAAAAATTGTTCTTGTCTTTTGTAACTACTTGAATTGCTTTGAGCAATTCAAGATGGATGCAGAAAAACAGCTATGCCATCTCAATTCAGAATGTAATTCTGAAGACATTCTACCACTACAGAACTCTAATTCAAATCTGAATTATAAGAAAGGCTAGACAGTCACTTTACAACTGAAAACCATAGAAAAACGTGTTAATTTCTGTGTGCATAGAAAGTTAAAAACATACCCAAAATATTGGCATCTATATTGACAACATCCAAACTTAAAGATAAATATCCTATTATTCCTGTTTTCTATTTGTTGAGAGCAGCTGGCTCCTCACAAGCACTTGCAAAGACTAAACTAGATCTGCTCTGCACAATTCCAGGATGCAAGACATTAGGCCACAAGTAACACAAACAAAATTTTGACAACAAAGAAGACTCTAACTTGATTAAGAGAGAAGACAACATCCATTTTCTAAAAGGGAGCCAACTGAATGAGTGTATTATTCTGAGATGCCAGCTTTTACTGCTATGTAAGTATGCAATTAAAAAAAAACTGTATCAAGTCATTAACATAGTACTTTTTCCATTACTAAAACTGGAATGCTGTCAAGCCAGCTAATAACAATCAACATATTCTGCATTTCAAGGTTAATGGAACAGTTCTATTATTACAGCAAACATGACCACACCAAATTGCTGCCAAAACATTCCTGGGACCAGTGCTCAGAAGCAGAGGCCAAATCCTTAACACCATCCAGCATGAGATGAAGGACAAAGGACTATCTACTAAAAAACAAATCTAAGTGAACACAAACTTTGCCTGTCACAATTAACACTTGCTGTTGCCTAACACCTGTTATTTTCAGTCAATACTGTCCCTACAGAAACCTACTTAGTGCTTATGTTTCTCTCATGTAAGGAAAAAAATTATTTAAAAGCGTATGCCAGCACAATCCTAGTAACAAGTGTCATAATCATAAACAAACCTGCAACAGACCTTCAACCATAAATAGTAAGGTATAAGAAAGGAACAGCAAGAAAACAAAGCAAAAACAACACCTCCTCCACAGCTCCTGGACTGTTTGTAATTCGGGGTGGGGTACGGCTTCAGAGGGGAAGCTGGAGAACACCTCTGAGAGAGTGATGAATAGCAAGGGGATCATGAAGCTGGCCACAATGTTCCCTCAACCTATATTATCCAGAGTTACACCAGGCCAGGCTCACTTATTCTCCTTGTCAGTCATTTTTATTAGTCCATATTCTCCAAAGAAGCAAAACTACCTGTTAACTACATGTATATATGCTTTATGTGTACATGCACACCGTTGAATACCACAGCTAAAATTTACTTTTTTTCAAGTCCTACATGTTTGGAGTTTGTCTATACCACTCTTAGCACACAATGTAAAAATAGCAAATGCTTAATTGAAGTCTAACTTAATCTGAAACTATGAATGCTACCTACCTTAAAGACCCATATAAAGTTTTATTAATTTCTAATTCTTTTCTGTAAATGCACAATCAAAACATTACTATCTGTATACATCTTTTCTTGCAGGTTTTCTTTTTACAGAAGAAATTATGTACACACATAGTGATGTTAGGATCACAGAGGAACCAAGAACTATCATGAATTGTGTATTTGTTGGTTAGAGTATAAAATGTGAAAAAATGCTCTTGAGGAAAGTGTTCTTAAAGGTTGTAATCAGCTTCTTTTAAAACTGAAGCTTGTTCTCTATAGACCATACTTGATGGGAACTTGATGGGAACTTGAATAGCATTTAATTGAAATCACTAATGCACGGCTGAGTTCGCCCAAGGAAGTTGTGTAAGTTCCTTAATATATACCCCAACCAGGGCTCAGCATTTTAAGTTATAATCCTTTATTTATTAGAATAAACCAGAGTGATCTATATGACTCAGTCACCAGAGTATTGCTATCAATCAAATCAGATTGTAGCCATCTCAGTGAAAATGCTATGTTTGTGTCTTCTTGGAAAACAAATCCTGAAAGACAGCACTTCTACTGTACAATACTGGAAGCCCGCTTTTAGAGGCAAACCACAATCAGAAAAGTCTCTGATTTTCCAACACTCTTCAAATGACATTTTCAGATACTCAGAAAATTGATAAATTGATACAATTCTAATAGGTGACACTGTCATTACAGAGTTGAAAAAATTCAGGTATTGGAAAATATTTTTTTCAATTTAGTTTCACTGTTAGAAGTGTAATTAAAAAGAAGTCTGCCTATTTTTACTCAGAACTACATCTTTTAAAAGATAACAAGTATCTGAAAACAACCGTAAAAGCAACTGCAGCCTTGCAATGTTGCATGAAGTTATTTATTAGTATACTAAGTATTTGCATCAGACTCACGATCAGTCAACAATAATTGAAGCATACTCAAGATATGCTTGCAACAGCTATGCAACAGCTATGCAACAGCTGAAGAATGCATTAAAAAAAAACAAAAACATGAGCATGCCACTACTACACATGGCACTTCTCCACTAGGGTGGTCGACAGAATAAATGACATTTTCTTACTCCAGTATATTCTTACTCCAGTTTAACCAGCTGATCAGAACGTAACAATGTGATTAACTAAAGTCGATAAAAGCTAAAATTTCCTTGCCCTCGACACGTAAGCAGGGCAACAACGGAGATGCCGCCGAGCGCTGCCTCCGAGGCGCGGTGACACGACCCGCGGTGGCGGCACCCGGGCCGCTGAAGGTCACACCGGGCACCGCCGGCGGGCACCGCGACCCCCCGGCCCGGCCGCCCACACCGCCCGGACGGAGCAAACGCAGCGCTGCGTTACATTACAGCATCACCGCCGCCAAAAGGCTCCTGTCAGCTGCCAACACAGAAAGGCACCGGAACTCCTTGTCCGCCCGGGACCGCGGGGCCGGCCCCGGACACCGCCTCACGCTCGGGCACCGCGCCCGACCGCGAGCAGCCGCAGGGAAGCCGCCGCATGCCCGCCGCACCTCACAGCCCAGGGGAGGCGCGGCTCGGCGGGGAGCGGCCCCGGGGCAGAGGAGGGAGGGCTGACCTGCAGGGGTCACCGCGCGGGGCACAGAGCGCGCCGCTCGCCCTCAGGCGGCACAGCCGCGCCGGGCCGGGCCGAGCGCTCACTCACCGCCCGCGCTGCGCTCCCTCCGGCGCCGCTCCGTCCCGCTGCAGCCCCGCGTGCCACCGAGCGGCGGCTGAGGAAGGGCCCCGATGGCTTCCGCTCGGCTCCCGCCCAGAACTACAGCCCCCGGCAGCCGCCGCCAGTGACGAGCCCACAATGCGCCGGGCCGCGTGGTGCGGGCAGTCCCCGCCCCTGGGCGGGCCGGGGGCCGGGGAGCGGGGCGGGGCTGCGGGCGGGGCGGTGCAGCCGTCGCGCCGGCCCCAGGCCCTGACCTCAGGCGGCGGCGGCAGGAGCGGGCGCTGCTGCCCTGCAAGGCTCCGGCCGCGCCCTCAGCCGCGCTGCGGGGGGACCCGGGCGGGCCGGGGAGAGGGAGCGGCGCACGCTGGGCTCGGGAGGCGGCTGCGGGGGCGGCGCGGGGTCGCCGCGCTGGCGGGAGCGCAGCCCCGTCCCGGCCGCCGCGGGAGGCCGGAGGGAGGCGGGGGCCCCACGAGGAAGGCAAGGTACGAGCTTAGCGGAGCGAGTGAGGAGCCGCGGGGGAGCCTGCGGATCATTTCACACGACCGGGAGCTGCCTCAGCCGCTCCAGACGCTGCAGTACGAGCTGCAGATCAGCGTCAGCAGAGCCCGGGAACTCGAGTTCGCGGTACAGGGGCTTCGGGCTCCGGAGCCTCCACACTCCCCCGGGTCACGGGCACGGGCTTCTATGCTTCTTCCTGCCCTGCACTGCTGTCTGCATTTGAAGCTTTGGCCAGGCTGGGATGAATGTGTCATTTTACCTGTGCAACATTGTCCCTCTCCGCAGTACAAAAAAAAAAAAAAAAAAGTCTGCGATACAGAAGGAAAAACGTGGAGACAGGGAAAAGGTTCATGTGGGGTCATAATCTAAAACCGTATTGAAAAATGGAAGCAATGTTAAACTACATAAGAAAAACAAAAAATAAAAATCTTGAAATTGTAATGTTATTTGAATAAATGTGCATCGTGAACGATTCTGTTGGCTGGCTATATGCCTTTGAACTAAGTCTACAATAATTTGACTTTAGTATGTCGTAGTTATTAAGACTTGATTCTTCAGCTTAGCGTCTGTGGTTTCACGTTGCAAGCAGCAGAATAAATTGTCTTGTATAACAGAAAGAGGCATCTTCTTTCCAGATAGGACAAAGATGCTGTGGCCATTACAGTGCTGGCCACTTGAAGCACCTGCGTTCTTTTTTTTTCACTCTGCTACAGACTTCCTCAGTTAGGCAAGTTAAACCCTGATCATCTGAAGGTACCCAGTACCTACTAAGGATCTCCTTTCGTCTCCATTTGGAATATTTAATAAAGAATTTCTTCAAGCAAATTTTTGGGGCAAAAATATTAAGGATTATGAGTGGCTTGGATATTTGGCAGTGAATGGAGTGGTGGGGGCTTGTTAGCTTTTCAAGAGTGTTGCCTTGATTAAGTAGCATGCATAATTTAAGTGCAGGCTATACTCAAGCTTAGCTCCTTAATAAACAAAATTATCAGTTTCTGATATAGTACTTCACCTTTTTAAAGTTAACTGTCATGCAAAAATTGCATGTTAACATGGAACTACATCCTATAGCTGACTTTTTATCAGCCACCAAGTAGGATTCCTAATGGGGGCTGGAAAGCTGCCCATCAGAAAAGGACTTGGGGGTGCTGTTTGACAGCTGGCTGAAGGTGAGCCAGCAGTGTGCCCAGATGGCCAAAGCCAATGGTACCTGGCTTGTATCAGCAATAGTCTGGGAGCAGGACCAGGGAAGTGACTGTCCCTCTGTACTTGGCACTGGTGAGGCGAGGCCACACCTCAAGTACTGTGTTCAGCTTTGAGCCCCTAACAAGAAGAAAGACATTGAGGCACTGGAGGGTGTTCAGAGAAGGGAAACGGAGCTGGTGAAGGGTCTACAGCACAAGTATTATAAAGAGTGGCTGAAGGAGTTGGAGTTGTTTAGCCTGGAGAAGAGGAAGCTGGGAGGGACCTTCTCACTCTCTAAAACTACCTGAACGGAGGTTGTAGTGAGGTGGGAGTTGGCCTCTTCTCCCAGATAACAAGCGATAGGATGACAGGAAATGGCCTCAAGTTGCACCAAAGGAGGTTTAGATTGGATCTTGGGAAAATTTTCTTCACTGAAAGGATTGTCAAGCATTGGAACAAGCTGCCCAGGGAAGCGTAGAGTCATTGTCCCTAGTAGTGTTCAAAAAACATGTAGATGGGGTACTTGGGGACATGGTTTAGTGGTGGGCCTGGCATTACTGGGTTACTGGTTGGACTCTGTGATCTTTGAGGTCTTTTCCAACTTCAATGATTTTACTGTTGAAGACTTGCTTATAGCTAAAGTAAATTAGCTTTGATACACTTCTTAGACATCTCTCTCACTGCCTAAGCTTTCAAAGCATCAGACATAAAATAAGTCAGCTGGAGGACTTTCAGAGTGGCTACTGAAATCTGTGAGGGAGTTTGCCTAAGTAAAGTGAAAATTATTGGAGTTGCTTCCCCTCCTTTTTTTTTTAAACTGAAATCCCTTACAATAGTATTTCCTCTCTCGCTTGTGAAATGTAAAGTGCAATAGCTTCTGCCTTGCTTTTTTTGTGAGCTAGTTCAGCTGCACACAGCTGAGATCTGACTAGCACAGCTGTGCGCCTTTGAAACAAGACTGATTTCTTTTCCTACAAACTGCCAGGGATTAATGAATCCATTCTTTTTTACTTTCTGCACTTGTGCAGTTAACTTGCAATTCAATTGTTTGTTCAAAAGTGGCAATAAGATTTCTAAACCCATAAATTGAAAGGGAAAGCTTGAGTTGACATGTGTAGTCCTCAGTGTGGAGTTTGGAATTGATATGCTGCTTAAAGGCCCAGTGGAAGCAGGCTTTCCAAGAGCTGGAGTTCTGGGGGTTTGTGTGGGTGTTAACTTAGAGGAATGCCTCTAAGTTAAGGAAATTTATGTTTATCACTGGTTTATGTATTATCTTACATTGCTACCTTATTTTTTCTAGGATAAATGGATGTATATGACTTTTCCCCTGACCTAAAGCGGTTCCATGTCTTGTTTGGTAAGTTTCTCTTGAAAAATTTTGGCTGTTGTACCTTGTTACCCAGTTATAGCTTAATATGAAAAGTTCTGGTGAAATATCTTGGTTGAAGGGATTTCCACAGCACTGAGATGTTTAAACTTTGTTGTATCAATTTTGGTGAAGGAAACTGTTTAGTATCTCCTCTTCTGCCATGTATGTGTTTTATGCTGTTTCATAACCCCTTGCTTGACTGACTTGTAGCAGACTTTCTGAGCTCCTGCTTATAGGGGCTACTTTTTAATGCTTTCCCACTGCCAGGTTTAATAAATTGCAGCAACTTCACAGACACTCACTTGTTTCTGTTCTCAAGGACTGTTCCTGTATTCTACGTACGCCAGTTGAATCAATCAGACCAGAAGAGCTATCTCAGAGCAGCATCCATGAATGCCTGGTAAGAAGAAAACAGAAAATTCAACTGCCAAGGTTAAATACAAAGCTGGTACATATTAAAAATAACCTCATTGGGGAGTATTTCTTAAACTGTTAACAGCAAAAATAACCAAAGTATTTCAGGGCTTCCACTTTGAAAGAAGGCTGTAGGTAACTAAGTGTTAATCTTGTGCCAGTTTAAAAACAAACACAGACACAAAAAACCAGTAACTCATACAACTAAGTCTCAGTAATGGTAAAAGCATCGAATTGAATGTTCTGATTTAATACTTAGCATTAATGATATTTCTGCATTAAACATAAATTATTCAAAATTGCATAGTCATTTTGAGAACTGTTTTTTCGCACTGCTAGGCTGATTCTGATCTAGCCTGGATTCCCCCATCTACAGGAAGGAATGAAATGGTATTTTGCTCTTCTAATGTCTCTCACTATGAACTCCAGCTGGAAATAGGTAACATAAGTGTACCTTAAAATATTTCTTCTTCCTGTTAGCAATAATTTATTGCTCAGTGCAGTAAATATTAGATTTGGAAAATGTAGAACTACTCTTGTGTCTCCTTAGTTGAGAAAAGTGCCCAGAGCATTGCTCACGTTTCAGTAATCACTTATTTCAAGATATAAGACAAATCAACAATTACCTGAAATTTTCTCTTGATGTTTGTGCATGTGCATGTCAGTTTTCTAAATCTGTGGTACGTGACAATAAATACAGCATTAAGTACATCATGTCTTGTGACTTGGCTACCCAAGGTGATTGTTCTAAGGAAAACTGCCTTGAATCCTACTGCACATGCACGTTTCTGTGAATATGCATGTGTTGGTCATTTAGATGTATAAGTGATACTGACAAATGTTCAAAAACTTTTAGTTGTTCTCAAAATAGCAGAGCTATGCTTCAATTTGCTGCAACTAATTTTGCAACTAGTTCTTGACATTCTTAAAGAAAAGGTCGTGTTGCTATCAATTGTATTTTTAGAAGTAGAAAATTATCTCTAAACGTGAAGGAAATTATGTGATGGATCATTATATTTTCCAATGTTAAGGTAGCCACTTCTGGTTTCAGGAAGGAGGTTCAACAATTTAACTTCAGTCTACCTTGCACGGCATACACCTACAGACATGCAAGTTGCTGTAAGGATCACAGACCTAGAAAATTGCTCTGAAGAGCATTTGAAAGCCTTACAGGTAAAGCAACAGCATTTCTGCACAATTCTGATGGAGACAGTGATGAATACATATGAGGTTACTGAACAGAGGTAGCCTTTGTTTGTACTGGGTCATTTCAGTCAAGATTTTCCCCCAAAGAAATAGAATATAATAAACACAAGGCATGTGTAAATTTGAGAGGTGCTTTCTGAAGAAAACACAAGCGTTTTAGAAATACTTCTGTAATTGTACAACTTCTTATTTGGAACATGTTCTGTAGTCTGTAGTTAACACCGAAAGTCTGGACTATGAACAAACTAGATTTACTTCAGACAAATGCAATTATGGGCAGGTTATTCACATTTCTGGTCCAGGCTATGCACATCACCTGCAATCTTGTATAAATGCACACAGGAAACTGTTCTTTCTACTGATGTAGTTAATGCTCTTCATAAGACTGCTGTCTTGTGATTAACACATCTACTTTCATTTAATTCCATAGAATGAGGTGGTTTTATCCCACTTTTTCCAGCATCCCAACATAATGACGTTTTGGACAGTTTTTACAGCTGGTAGCTGGCTTTGGGTCATCTCCCCATTCATGGCCTATGGTAAGAACTGTTAACGGCAATTTTGGAATAGGAAAAAGGGCTAATACAAGTTGGACCACATGGTCCAGGAGAGCTTTTTCTTTAAGCATCTCCTGTCTTGTAGAAAAAACAAACCTTCCCAAACCACTTGTTTAGAGAAGACTGCTGTACATAATCTTCCTCCCCAGTGAAGACTAGTATTGAAACTTCATTAAATTCCACTTAGTCCTAGCACCCACCGTATGAGGAATGATAACTGGGAGATGTATTTGACTTTATACAACTGATTTTTGCCAACAGAAAACCTATCTATAATGAATAGAGGTTGGGCATAGACTTTCAGTTAACAGAAGCACGATGTGAGTGTGATCTTTGCCTGATAGATGCATCAGTTGCATCCATGTAATAACTGTTCTTGATGTACCGTAGTCAACATAAAGATAGGAATGCCACTCTTGATGAATGTATATAATGAAGCAAGCACAGACAAGTAATTTAACAAGACTTCTTAGGCTTAGCTAGATTTTTTTCACTTTCAGGTTCAGCTAGACGCCTGCTGAAGACTTACTTTCCTGAAGGAATGAGTGAAGCTTTGATAGGGAACATTCTGCTTGGTGCAATCAGAGGATTAAATTACATGCACCAGAATGGATATATTCACAGGTAGGAGAATGACAATAGGTAAGAATCAGATTACAGCGTCTCAGCTTAAGTATTGTCTCCTTCCTTTTTCTATATATCTCCTTGTGTCAGACAGCGCGGAAGTATTTTTTATTTCAATACAGCAGAACCAAGTTTGTAAAAGCTTAACAGGAGCTGTATTCATACATTATTTCAAGCCAGTTGTTACAGGGATAATACATCTGCCTGGCTTTGCCTCTTTGAAGTGGAAGAGAACCAGGGTTGTAGAACGGGCTTCCTTAGCTTACACCCTTTGCAGGGAAGAAGGGCCCTTCTCCAGTTTCTGGCGCTTTTTTTTCTGATCATCTCTCCTCTCTCTTGGGACTGTATTAAAAAGACAACTCATACTGAGTGAAGGACTTCCATGAAAATAATCTGCTAAATAGAACTGCTTGGTAACATCTCACTATAAGTTAATGAAATATGAAAGCCTTTGTGCTCTAATAGTGCTTTGAGTAATTCTTATTTATGTTACAGGAATATTAAAGCTAGCCACATTTTGATTTCAGAGGATGGGCTGGTTTCTCTCTCTGGTCTAAACAACCTCTACAGTTTAGTTAACAATGGACAAAAGTCTAAGGTGGTATATGATTTCCCCCAGTTTAGTACATCCGTGCTTCCTTGGCTGAGTCCTGAACTACTGAGACAGGTTGGTATAACACTTAATTTTTCCTCCTCAACATTAGTGGCAGTACTCAACTTCTAACTTAAGTCTGCTTGTAGAAGTGCAATGGAAGATGTTGAACTGAAATATGTACTGAATTTTTAATTCTCCTAAAGAGAACCAGTTTTCAAGCTGTTAGTAAGGTGATGCTGTACTAAGTCTCTTTACTTGACCCTCCTGGAAACTACAACCATCAGACTCCTAACAAAACCTGAGGTTTCCCAATTTGATTGTTTCAATACCGTGTAGATTACAGGGTATTAGAATCTTGTCTTGAAACAGACATTTGTATTTCTGTTGGCACCGCTCAGTGGCATCAGTGATCAGTAGTGTTTTCTTGCTGTCCCAGGATTTGTCTGGGTATAACATGAAGTCTGACATTTACAGCGTGGGAATTACAGCGTGTGAATTAGCCAATGGACATGTTCCATTTCAGGATATGCCCCGCACTCAGGTATGATTCTAAACTCTTATTTCTACTTCAAAACATGCTGAGCATTTTTTTTGGTTTTACTCAGAGAAACCAATGCCATTACTGTTGAAGTAATGTGGCTGTTTTTTTTACTTCAAATATGCATGCTTCTTTCTAGAACAAATAATCCTTCCATTCCTGGAGTTTCACAGCTTAGCCTGAATAGCCCTTGTTGAACTCTCACATACTGTTATTCCTTCCTACTAGATGCTGCTGCAAAAGCTGAAAGGTCCCACATACTATCCTTGGGATATAAATACCTTTCCCCGGGGGGAATCCAGGATGAAGAATTCCCGATCGGGGGTCGATTCTGGAATTGGTGAGAGCATGACACGCACAATGACCAGCGAAAGACTACAGATTCCCTTTTCCAAAACATTTTCACCTGCTTTCCACAACTTGGTAGAACTCTGCTTGCAACAGGACCCTGAGAAAAGGTAACCTTCTGGTGAAAACTAATTTTTTGTCACCTCAATCTAAGAGCAAGGATAGCCCACAGTTTAGGATACAGTAATTGCTTGAATGCTGTTAAAGTCAGAATTTCAGACCAGATGTACTATGTAAAACAATTCACTTATGTTTGGTTTTGTAATTTAAGAATTATCTTGTCTGATAAAGGAACCATGCTTTAAAGTCATTTGACCCCTGAATTTCTTGTAATATGAATGTGCTTCGTAAAATGTAAAATTAATTTTCAAACATGCACTTTGTCTAAGAAAAAAGCAGAAATCTGAAATACCCATTTTCAATCCTATGTCTCTTTTGAATGAGGCATTAAATTCCTTGTTAAACAGAAATGTGAAAAAGCCTTTAAAAATAGATTTCTTCAGTAGTGCTTTTACTACAAATTGAGGCATAGAATGTAGGATTTGTGTGGTTCTTTTCTCATTCTTCACATTTGTCCCGTGGATGAAAAACCACAGGGCTTAAATTGACTTGTCAGTCTGGCCCATTTCCCAAAAGCAGTATTTTACTTTCCAAAACATAATTATATTGTTCATTTTATGATTCAGGCCTTCAGCAAGCAGTTTGCTTTCGCATACGTTCTTCAAACAGGTGAGTTTACTACATTTTGTAAAATGACACAGCTATAACCTAAATAAGCCACAGAAAGAGTTGGATTTCAAAAATAGTTAAGTTACCTGGAGCCAAAAAGCATCCTGTAACAGCATACCTGTTTCAGACTTCTTTTTTTTAACAAAATGGTATTGATATAGGAGGCATAAGAATAATCCATTTCCCCTTTGATAAAGTTGGTTTAACTAACGTCAGCCTAACTAATAAGAATAATGGTTAATAATTTAAATCAGAACTGCAAAGCTAATTTAATTAGTCTTGAAAGACTAATTCAACTTACTCTAGAGTGAGGAAAGTGAAATCTCTCATCCTGTTTTGTTCAGTATTGTAACATGCAAAAACATGGCTCTGATTTCACGTGCTTCTAATGAAGTCAGTTGCAAGGTTATGGAGACTTTTATATGCAGCCCTGTTTTAACTTTTTTTCTTTCTAGATAAAAGAACAAACACAGAATTCACTACTATCTCTATTGCCACCTCCTATTCAAAATAACAGATCAGAGTTCTTGGCACTGCCCTCAACAACAGTTGGGACTGGACTTGGACATATTACTGCAAATCAAGATGATACAGACTGGGAATTCTAAATAAATACCAAACAAGCATACCTCTCCTGTGCTTCAGAGAAGGAAAATGTGATTTGTACTTGCTGCTTTAGTTTGTATGGTTAAAATAGACAAGGTATACTTGAACATGCCCTGAAGTGGCCATATTTCATTAACTTCCTCTGCTGGCATCACGAAGTGCAGTGTGCCTCACTCTCTGACCGAAAGGAAAACTGTATATAGAGAATGGCTGAATGCTTACCTCTCTCTTTCAAAGTACTTCTTAACAAGAGAGTTCCTGCTGTAATCTTACTCTGTACTGTATTTTCAGCTCATATTGCTGCGGTACACTTGCCTTTCTGAATCCAGACTCGGGTATTGTCTGTGATCTTACTTAAACAATCTGTTTGTCTTTTCATTATGACTCAAATCATTTTAGTGAGGAGAAATCCTCCTCTTCCAAGTTGAAATTTGAGACTGCACAAATTAGTTGATTATGTGAATAAATGTTTGTCTCCTAAAAGACATTTTTTCTCACTTGACATGCTGTCATATTTGCCAAAAGTTAGCTATGCATCATTTTTCATGCAGTTTTAATACTGCATGTTTCCCAAAGAAGTTAAGCTGCTTAAAAGTGTGACTCATGTTCTTGCATTTGTCTATATTCATACTACAAATTTGTGCTTTTGCATCTCCATTTATTGTCGTGTCATTCTAGCAGTTAATCTGAGGACTTCTTACTATGCAAAGTAAGTCTCAAGTTATAGCAGGTACGGGTTAATTTTGAAGAATCAAATAATCTAAAGTTACTGTACATATTTTTATTTATACTGTATTCCTGTTCACCACCAGAATTTACCAGAACTTAATACTGTTGTTTTAAAAGAACAGGCAATATGCATTAAGCTTCACTGGCACTGCTGCTGGCAAACAAGCCTCTTCTGCAAGGCACAGTTAAATTCCCTTGGATAGATTCAGCCACAATAAGCACCTGATACCCCCAAGGATCCTAGTGAATTTATCTGTTCTAGGTCAGATGAAAAGCTGTCTTTTTTCTCCCTACAATTCAGTAAGTTCTCATCTCTCACACTGTACCAGGCAACTCAAACTGAACAAAAGGAGCTTTCTTTTTTAAAAAAAAGCTGCATATTCTCATCATGTTGTAGCAAAAGTCGTGTCCCAAAGCCACTAGTATTTTATTGATGGAAGTTATGACTGTATTAAAAAAAGCATAAATAGATATCGAATGGATATATTTTAAATTTTCAACATAAACAACATTCCACATTAAGTCTCCAAGTCTTCCATAGCTGAGTTGGTCTGTACCACTGTTTGCCAGCAGCTTTGCCTCAAGGCCTTGAAGGTGAAATGACCAATATGCAAAACTGAGAGAGACATAACATTCTAATTGACTACATAAAAGTATTAACAAAGAACTTGAGTCTATTCATTATGCTGTGAAGAGAGCTCTATATTTCTAAAACTAACATGTGAAACTTAAGATTAAAAACCTGTCAATAAACTTACCTTATCTGCCTCCATTTATTTCTGTAATTATTGTACTTCCATTTTCACCACAGTCCAGTCATACAAACAGCCTCTCGTTACTGCAGGAAAGAAATTTCACATTTATTTCAATCATTAGGTAAAATAATGGTTGTCTAAACTAGAAAATTACTCTCATCATAAAAATATGAATAACTTAATTGTGTACTCTTGGAGAAGATATTATTTTCATATAAACGCTATGTTCTTAATTCTTAACCATGACAAATTTGGACTGTTTGCAAGTCAAATACATTAGATAGCACCTACAAGTAACTTTTGACTAACAGTACATGTAAAAACCAAGTCAAAAAATTGAGAACACACATAAAGTTGTACATATTTTAATTATAGACCTCTGAATAAATATTAATACTCTTAAAAAAACCCCAAACCTTTAAAAGACTTCAGGCAGCTTAACTGGCTAGTATTTGTAAGCTTCTCTGAAGCAACAGTGCTCCCAACTCTATAAAAATGAACTTGGGTACTAATAACAATGTCAGCACAAAGTGATTTAAACAACCATGTGTTCCAGTGGAGTTACTTTACTGCTGTCTCTTTCTATGAAAGAAAATGAAAAACTTATTTCTGAATGCTGTTCCAATTCCGTACTGACATAACTTTTAAAGAAAAAAATGAAGTACAATTTTTTTTAAGTTAAAAAGCTCACAAGGCTTTACTCTTGGAACTACAGCTTGTCAACAACTACAGTATTTTCAAACAAAGGCAATTAAGAGGCACTGTGACTTCTAATAGCTCTTAAAATAACCAGAAACGGTAGAAATTAGTCCGTGGGTTGTGTTTGCTGAAAGGTTTGATATGATTTTTTTTGTTAACTGTGATACTTTCTGTTAAGGAATAATGCAAAATAAATACTAGCATTAAAAAAAATGTGTAATCATATTGTTAAGAAGGTTTCAACTACCTACCACTGAAAAGAGTATCTTGGAAACAGTTTTACTGAGAAATCTGAAGGTTTTGCATACAGTTGGTGTTTTCAAAATCTGAGATTCATGATCTGTATTGCTAGGTGCCAAGTTGCAGAGACTTTCCACTCCAAGCTCACATAGTTTAAGCAAAATTATTTATTTATTAATTTATTTATTTATTTATTAGAGCACTTGTTTACTCTCACACCAATGATGTGTTATGAGCGTATGAACTAGAACTATACTTGGACTTGAAATTGTCAAGTAGCTCACATTTAGGCTCAATGTAACATATTTTCAAAGGGGCTTATAAAACTAACACATTTGCAAAATCTCATGGGCAATGAAACACAAGTATTCTGAAATACTTGTGAAAACAACACAAGTGGGTTTTTTTTGCTGCCACTTTTCTTTATGCTAGCATTTAACACTATGTAAAACATCGAAATACCTGTAATAATAGAAAACTTAATTAACATTGTCATGAATATATGCTCAGTGGTGTTGAGCATATATTCTCACTGTCTTAGTCTGATACCACAGCAGTTTGTGAATTTCTGACTGAATGAATTAACACTGAAAAAAAATGTGACTTACTCCAAATCAACCTGATCTGCTACACAACCTACTCACTTTAAAAAGTCTCAATGCAATAAATACCCACTGCAGAGAGAGCAATTTCTTCCACTTGATAAGTTGTTTTTTTTTTAAGTTACCAAGTTTTACTTTCTCTCTCTCTCTTTTCCCTTCCCCCCTCTTTTCTTCAAGTGCTATCAAAGCTGGTTTTAACCTAGAGGATGGGTAAAATCATGGGAAAGCATTTTCAAACCATTGTTCTGAATATCTCTGACAAGAGGCAGATACCTAAACATACCCTGCCTTTAATGCTAGTAAGTAGCTTTCCTAAAGTATATCAGACTGTCTAATAAACCTCTAAAGCAATTAAGCTGGCTGTAATGACCTGTCCTGATGATGGCCATCCCTATCCTGTATGAATGAGGAAAAACTACTAAAATGCAGAAATAGTACACATCAAGCAAGAAAGACCTCAAAGGACTATGAGTAAGAACCCCATTTGATGTAATAGACAAGAAAAGACTTAAAGATTTAAAAAGAAAGCACTGAAAAATTGAGGTGGTCTACTAAAAACCTGCTAGCTGGATAACATTTGGTATTTAACATAATTAAACCTATCCAGAAACTTGAGACAGGATGAAGGAAAGAATATTAGGTTTAAACAGGTTCTCGTAAAAACCTCCATCATTCTCAAATGAAAACAACTAATTCTACTCTATAAATCATATATTTCTTATCCAAAAGTCCCATGAAGTTCCTGAAAAATGGAGTGGTGGTTTTATTTTTACATATGATTACAGAACACACCATTACTACTGGATTTACCCACAAATCCAGATTCACGGAATTCATTTGCCCCTTCATGAAATCCATCTGCAATAGAGGAGAATGGATTGCTGGCAGGATGTATGTGCTTTCCTCTGTTTTGTCAAAATTTATATGACATATGGGTCAAGAGTGTCAATGCTGAGTTTATCTACTACAGTCTATTTTAAAAGTTTTTTTATTCTATATTCTGGTATCAATTATCCTTCTAGTTCTCACCTTTCATGCAGTCAAAAATATCCTTACAGGCAGATTCCATTAGCCCATGTAAAATCTAGGAAGTCAGCTATAGATGAGTTTTCTTTGAATGCTTTAACAGTTTGAGGTAGCTGTTGGTCTGCAGTAGCTGATGGAGCCATCACAGACTGCACCACCGTTTGAGAGCTGTCTGTATCCGTCTGAAAAGCCGTGCTCCCTTCCACTTTACACAGCACAGGAAAGCTACAGGGAATTGTCTGAGCGAGGGAGGACCCTGCAACTTCCGAAGTTTGAAGAAAAGATTACGAAAAGTACGGAATTATTAAAGCAAGCAGTTTTGCTCGAGCGTGGGGACACAGAGGAGCTCGTTCTCTGTGCCCGATATGCCCTCTGTGCCCGATATGCCCTCTGTGCCCCCCTGGAAGGGGCCGCTCCCCTCAGGCCGGGTCCGAGCCGGCGGCGCGCGGGGAGGGCGGGAACGCTGCTGAGGGCTGAGGCGGAGCGGGGGCACCGGGGGCACAGAACATTCACAGCACCCAGGGAAATACAGACTTTCTGCAAGTGTCTGTGCACTTACGGACCGATTTCATGCACTGCCGCACGGAGGAATGCAAGAGCACCTTTCACAGTGCTGTGAGGAAGAAGTAAGAGGCAAGTGTGGCTTAGGCTTAGCTACAGTGAGGTACCTACCTGATGGTTTTCTCTCATCTCCCAAAGCCTTCAGTCATTTCAATTCTGCTGCAAATAAGCAAGCGAATAATTCTGACCTAACCATAAACCCCCTAAAGTTTACCTCAGCAATACCAAAATTACCTTAAAAAGACACTTCGCAAATTAATGACACCTGGCTGCGTATCGAGAAAGCTGTGTTGAAAGAGTGACATTTAAACCAAGTTGAAACGAAACACATTTTAGGTAACTGTCTTTTAAGGAGCAAAATTAGAACACTTTGGCTTTGGAGGGCCCCTGGAGGCCCGCTGGGTCCAGCCCCTGGTGAGGCTGCCCAGGGCTTTGTCCACCCGAGTCCGGGGCAGCGCCAGGGATGGAGCTCCCACAGCCCCTCCGTCCCCATCCCAAGCCCTCAGTCAAAACTCCCATGGCAGCTCCTGGAGCTCCCACAGCCCCTCCGTCCCCATCCCAAGCCCTCAGTCAAAACTCCCATGGCAGCTCCTGGAGCTCCCACAGCCCCTCCGTCCCCATCCCAAGCCCTCAGCCAAAACTCCCATGGCAGCTCGTGGTACATTTCCCTCACGCTGCCTGTGACCACTTCCACTCATCTTTTCACTGTGCAGCTTTAAGAAGTGTCTGTCTGTCTTATTTGTAATCATCCATTAGGTGGTTAAAGACAGCAATCAAGATTCCCCACTTAATATTCTTCTTTTTAGGCTAAACATACACTAGTAGCTGATTAAATACCCTTTACCTGCTACTTTTCAGGAGTTTACAGTACCATTTCTGATTGTGCAAGACGTTACAGCAGCAGGAATCTGATGGGAGGGAAAGCAAAGCTGTTTTTACAACATTGCCATAAATAAGGGGAAAAAAGTTTTCCCATAAACACCTGTTCAGACCTTGCATTTATACAAAATATTAGCACTGGGGAAAAATTAGACTGATTTATTTCAAACAGATTAAACAACTTGAAACAGGACAAAGTACAGTAATTTCTAACTAGTTTAGAGCAATTGTTTAATTGTTTCATATATGTAAAAACAAGAAATTGGCACCAACATATCCGTAATTTTTTCATTAACACAAATGCATTAAAAACAATGGTATGGAAATGCACAAAGGCATTTCAGTTAAGGCTTCTACAGATATTGCATGTTCTATAATTAAACATCTATTTCGTAAACTCATTCTAAAACCTTCCAAGAAACTAAACAAAAAAGCTCAGTTAGACTCATATTCCACTGTGAGGCTTAATAGAATGAAGAGTATCTTGTACTATAGATAATTAGTCATCAAACTGTTTATTGTGCTTTTTATATGGCAACCTCAAACCTCATTAATTTAAATATGGACATATTCAGATCCTCCTCAAAAGATACACTGGAAAGGCAAGACTGGATTGAAATATTGATCACATTGAATTCATTAATTCAATCCATGCTCAACCATCTAAACAAACTACTGTATTTCACAATGACAATGAATCTGGCTCTTGGCTAGCATCGCTCTGTCCAAGGGATACTTGGAAGGCCAATTCCTAATATTAATGTCAGAAATCAAGCAATGATGTTACCCAAGTTTTTCCTGTACTGACGTGATGCCTTAGCACCCTTTTGCCTGATTTTGCCCATATTTTATGGGCAAAATTATATTTCTTACCATACCGAGATGACAGAAGTGTCATGCAGCAAAGAGAAGCCATTATTAATCCCATCTTCAGGAGGTCAGTGATTCTGTAACTCAAACACACCACATCAGGAGGAAGTGTGGTGGCAACCTACACGAGAACACTTTGTGCCTCATCCTCCATCTCCTACAGCCAAATCATGACAAGAACATCCAGTGCACGACTGAAGGAGAGCACACCCTGAATCTCTCCATCTTAACGTACAATGCAGTGCCAGCCATAATTTCGCTCTACAGTTTTGCAAAAATACATACATAAGAGCCATAACAATTTACAAAAGCGTTAAGGGCTCCTTCCCATAACAAACTGAGTGCCCCACGACACAGCCAACAGCTGTGGAACATCTTTTAATTCTTGCAGAACTCTTTTCCCTCACTGCCAGGATTACCACAGCATTTAAATGATGTCATGAACACTGAACTCTTAACTTAAATTTGCTGGAGGGACATAAGAGAATTCAAGCCCTCAAAAGGGCAGCAACAGCCCTAGTTATTCATGTTACCATGTTTGTTTTGAAGCAACTCAGGTAACAGTAAAGAGAGTTAGCACTGAAAGCACAGAAAGCTCTTTGACATTTCCTTTCAAGTCTTTCATCTGGCTACTCTTAACTTCACTACTATAAAAAGTTCAGTAATTCTCCAGAGAACTTTGACAACTGCACCCCCTTTATAACCACCCATAGACATATATTAAATCAAATAATGCAGAATCAGTATGCATTAAATAACATACAAAAAGTTTTTGGGCTTTAGGTGATACTTTCTTGATAAATGGTTTTCAAACTAGCTGTTTTCTGTGTCTACTAAGGAGACTGTTTCATCCTTCAATATATATTTATTCATATCTGCAATGCTTTCATTTAGCCATTTTAATATAAAAGAAAAAGAATGTTGGTTATCATCATCAAAACCCACCAACTGCTACTATTACTACTACATCACTGCACAGAAGGTGGGTTGCTGCAGAGTTTTTAGTTTGCTTTAATAATCATTTTCCTGTAATTT